AATAAGATATAATTTAATAATATATAATCAAAAAAGTGAGTGTCTCAAAGCATTTCATGATAGATTAGTTTGGAATTTTCATTTATCCAATAGTCCAGTTGGATCTAAGATATCTGTCTAAATTCTGTCATCTGAAAATAGAATCAAAGTATTATGAATACCAAACTAATACTATTAAATTATGCTTTACAGGAATAACAAGTATTTGTGATTCTCCAGATTACTTTTGCCAACGTGCCTGATCACAGAAAATTAATTAAAAATTATAATTAGAGCAGTCTGGAAGTTTGACCCCTGTGGGTGTCTGTATAATGTAAATGCTTAAAGTTGTAGAATTTCGGGATTTCAATTCAGATGAATGTATCAGATATGATATTTTATTCAGGTAGACATGAAGACAAGAATACATCTGGCTGGCCTCTGCTTAATGATAGATCACGTGCTTAGTATGCCCAAAGCCCTGGATTAGATCCCCAACACCAGAAAATAAAAGGCATCATAAGAGATCTATAGGGCATCTTCAAAGTCAGGAAAAATATAGTTATATTTTCTAGTTTACTTTTATTATATATATACATATACTTAACTGTACATAATATATAAAATATGTGTGGAATGTCTACCCACATGTTTAATCTTCACTATTGGTGTACAGTAATCAACCACACTTGACATCAAGGAAAATAAAATTATAAACAGATATTAAATAACCTACTTGAAGCCAACAGATAATTAGAAGTTACATAGTATAATAAGTGTATTTGTAAAGAGATATAGGTATGTATACATAATGATAAGTGAAGATGGACATATATATATATAAAATAACAGCTGGTTATATTTTAGATCTGTCACTAATTATATTGTTTTCTTTAATCAGGTGCAACTCATTAATACACCTTTTTATAAGTGCAGTAGCTTGAGTAATCTACACAACGTTTACATTAAACATTGAAAGGTTTATCGTCTAAGGGCTAGGAAATTGTAACAAAGACTTCTATAATCCCACTAACATCATATTTACAAGAGCGGTAAAATCAGTGAAACTCATTCTTTAATTTTTTTCCAATTTAAGTAACATAAAACAAATTTTAAAATGTATACATCATACTTCTGTCATTAAATTCAGTATTCTGTGATGTAATAATTTTGAGGAGATGGCCTATTCTAAAATATCAAAGAAGAATTTATATAGCTAATGTTTTAAATTAAAAGCCATTTTTTTTTTTTTTTTTTGTACCGGGGATCAAACTCAGGACCTTGCGCTTGCAAGGGAGGCACCAGAACCACTGAGCTAAATCCCCAGCCCCTAAAAGCCAATTTTTAATCTCCTTCCTACTAAATGTTTTGTCTAAATACGGATGAACAATTGAATTCTGGCAAATTCTGGCTCAAATGTTAGCCCTAAGTAGATTCTGAGGAATGCTATGTCTAAAACTAAAGCAATCAAACATGCTGAAGAACATTTTTTTTTGCTAGAAAAAACTATGTGAAACATTTGTAAATGTAAGGAATAACAAGGTTGTCTTAATAGGGTTATATTTAAAAAATTACAGTATTTCCTATATGGGCACAATCATAGTCTGTAAAAGTTAAAATCTGTGTAAAATGTGCTTATGGGATAAAAATAACCTTTAAAACCTCTTAAAGTGTCATCTGGAAAATTTCTATTTATCAAAAACCAAGAACAAAAAGTATTTATGAATCTTTAATCCACCTTTCTTAAAGAAATAGTCTGATTATCAAAACTTCAGTACTTTTTTGTTCAATCTGACCTTTGTAAAGAGATTCTCAGATATTCTATATTATGAGATGTTCTCTTTATTCTAATAAAAGTAAAAATATCTTTTCTTCTAGCACTTATTCCTGCTTACTATAATGTTCTGCTGTATTTTAATTTTCCTTCTAATTAGGATATTTCTACTCTGAGATAGAAAGACGTTACATTGAAATATGTAATTTATAAAATCTGTTTTACAACCTGTATCACTATATGTATGTGGAATACTACAGAGTTTTTTAATATGCTGACATACACATTCATATATATACATTTGATTATTTTCAGCAAATATTGTTTCACATATGATGTGAGTTTATTAAAATTCTTTACACTATTCCTTATTCTTTTGGGTTGAATGTTACACTTAATGATTTACATATAAATAAAAAATTTCTGGATATGAAATTGTGTCCAGCTTAATAATAAAGTAGCAGAAATCAAGGCATTTGTAAACATTAGCTAGAGAGATGGATAAAGTTTTGGAATTCAGCAAAATAAAAAACTATTTCTTCAGAGTGAGATCTACTGAATTTGTTAAAAGTGAATATTCTTGTGTTTCATTCCACTCGTAATGATTTAGAATCATACAGTGTTTGATTTAGGAATCTTGCCTCTTCAGTAAGTTTTCAGGTGATTGTTATGATAACATCACAGACAAGATAGGTCACAGCTGAGAAAATTTTGAGTTACCAAAGTTCATTTCTTCACTTCTAAGAAGAGATATTAGTTGTTAATATGCTTAATCCAGCGCTTTATTTTCCTCCTTGTTTTACCTTTATATAGACACAATCTAATGCATTTAGTCATTTAATGAGAGTGGAAAAGTTTATTCTTTGAGATTTTGTAAATTTAAAAAGTCAATTTAAAATTTTTTCTGCAACTTTCTATATGATCCTACCACTACTATTTACTTACCCCCAAAGGTTCCTAGGGTCTCAAATTGTCTCCACTGACATGTTGCTTTTTCTGAAATCATCATTAGAGACCAAAGATTCTATTTCTCTCCAGCCCTATTCAGCCATTCAAATGGCTTTTTTATGAGATTGCAGCAAACTGAAACTCTGATCACATTCCTGCACCAATCTGCAATGATTCTATTCTCTATAGCTACTGAGAAAATGCGAAAAAAAAATACTAAATGAGTGGAAAAGCTTTGAGATTTACTGGTATGTTATCGAAATATGGGGAAGATATATTCAACAGATGAGGCCTGAGGAAAAAAAACATAATTTCTAGACTGTATCCTTCTAAGATCAGCTTTTTCAATAAACCAGTTGTGGGGAAATTCAAATAGATTAAGGATCATGTTAAAATAGAAAGCATAAAATTAAATATCTTTGAGTTAATATTTAAACATGAGAATAATTGCATTATCATATACTTTCCACATTCTAGAGGAAGATATCATAATTAAAATTTTAATGATACATGATTTCCATTACTGAAAACTATTTTAAATGCTCATCTAGGCTATTCGTGTACAAATTGAGAAGTAAAATATACTTTTAAGTTTTGATTTTTATATGATATTGGAATAAAAAAGATGGGGCTGTTACAATAAGGAGGCATCTTAAATACTATAATATTATGAATAATAAAAAGTATTTTTTGCTAAAATGGGAATATTGGAGAGAGAACACATAAGAACATGCTCATCTAATTAGTCGTAAATTTGTTTACTAAGTTGCTTGTAAAAGATATACTTCCACACATCTTGTCTAGGTTTAATCCACAGGTTTCATAAATTGTAGAAATAAAGGAAGGACATTTTCTATCAGTAAGCAAAAATAAATTCCCTAGTCTCTGAAATAAATACAGATTACAAACTACACACATTAAATGTTATTTTTGAATAGAAAAAGTAATTTTTCTAGGATTTCACTAAAATGCATTACATATAAAACCATTTCTAGTAAAAGGCCCACTTCTCCGCTGAGAAAACTTCTTAATCTGATACTTCCAATTGGAATATATTTTATTTTTCTGGTGAAGGAGTAAGATGTGAAAAGTACTGGAATAATCAAGCAGACCCTGTCTTTGCTTTGAAACTATAAAGTTAGGATTTTACTCCTTCTGTTGCCTTAATCTCTTTATCAGAAACTCACATATCCCATCACCCATCCTAGAGAGGAGGGACCAGACGTGTTGACTGGATGTTGTCAGCAATATCCTCTAACCTGCCTATGTTCCTAGTTGGAAATTATGAAGAGATGGGTGCTATTTACATGGGTAGATGAATGTTGTACCACACTGTGTGGAGGGATTCTCCCCTGATATTCTTCCAGGAAGTGAAAGAACCTTTAGATGTAGAGCATTTCAGAGTCCACATGCTTAGGAGTTTGAGGCGGCCACGCCCACACCACTTTCCTACTTAGTGCAGCAAGGCCTTAAGCATTAATACGTACTTTAGAATTTCGGCATTGAATTCACTTGGTGCAGCACGATTTTCAACACTGTAGCAAGGCCAAGTCTTTTCACAAATACATCTCCCAGCTCAGGCCCAACAGACCCCCTCCAGCCTGAGAGAGGGAGCAGCAATAATCAGTGTAGGATCTCCTTGGCTCCCTGGGCTTTCAGGCGGAGAGTCTGGGTGTCCTGTGCAGACTGAGAGGTCTAGTTAGCTTGGGCAAGCCTCCTTCCCTCTGGCCCGAAACAAATCCGCTGTCCTTGGTGCTGAACCATGTTTTGCTATGGGGTCGCTGGGTCAATGAGGCTGGATAGAAAACCTGGCTGAGCAAATACCCAGGTACAGAAGCAAGGGATACTTTATTATACAGAAACAGAGCTGCCCCTGTTCCCCATCCTCCCACACACAGATTTCTCCGGTGAGCGCTAAGAGCCCATTTGAAATGTTCCCCCCCAGACCCTCACCCAAAGCCTTCAACATGGCCTCAAACACAGGCGTGTATCAGCATAGCCCAACTCCACATCAGATTGCAGCAAGGTGAAAATGATATTCCCAAACGCAAAGTCTTTTATGAGGTTCGCTTAACTACTCCAAGACAAAACGAATAATAAAATCCAGTACATTAATAAACAAACGTCACCTTCCTTTTTCATACCTCCCATTCCTGCCTCATGCATTCACCCTTCCCTGAATTACAAACCGAAAATCCTAGGAGAGTGTCTTAAATCTGAGTGATCTCCACAGTTCCACATCTTCACCCCTTCCCCCACCTCTCCAAAACGAAACGACTCTGAAAATACCACATCTTACCCCGGGTAGAGAGCTAGCAGGAGCAGCATCCACATCGTCATTTTCTGCGAAAATACAGGAGTCCGGCAGACTGAGCTTCCTGCGCTCCATGTATTTGGCGAACTCATCGCTCCCCCCCCGCCCCCAGCCTCTCGCCTCTCGCCTTCTGGTTGCAGAAGAATCCCTCCCCTTAGTATTATTATTATGCTTATGATTTGATGGTGGCTTCCCCCACCTGCCTCTAGTAGGGACCGTCACTGGGGAGATGTAGCGCTACCAGCTTCAGGAAATTAATATTCAGGGGGCAGAAATAAGATCAGCACAAACGCTTTCCGATATCATCAAAGCGTCAGCTCTGGCAGCCGGCTTCCAAGGGTAGGGGAATAGTACAATTGAGCCAGGGGGAGGGTTCTTGGCGGGGAGAGATTCACACCAAGACAAATAAGAAAGGGAGAGACAGAAAGGCGCACACAATCACGATGCTCACACTCACGCGAACTCCCCCAGGTCCTTCCTTTTAGGTTTATTTATTGGCTTTGTCTCTCTCTCTCTCTCTCTCTCTCTCTCTCTCTCTCTCTCTCTCTCTCTCTCAACTCCTTGTGTATTTTTAAAAGAGAAAAAATCACTAGAGGCTCTGCGTGATTAACTATCACGCAGCAAATTAACTGTGAGGTCAAAGTGGAAGTGATGCGCGCTGCTGCAGCAGGAATTAACACATGCGTGGTGTCTTGCCTGCGCTTTTTAACCCTTCTCTGCACACACAAACACTCAGCGACTGGTGTTCATGGAGACAAGAGATCCTTTAGCAAGCCTAGAAACTGTATCACCAACGCCAGAAGGTTTATCTTGTCAGATCTGCCAAGAGTACTTATTTTAAAATCGTGCAGTTTTAGAAATCATGATTACATTGTTAGCGGTGGGGGAGCAAGCAGTGGGGGAGGGGTGGCAGCCTCTTTCCAAGCCGGCCTGTGGGAAGAGATATTTGGGGAGTTTAATTTGAATGAAAGGAGAAAACTCTGATAAAATTAAAAGCCATAGAATAATTCTATGATCAGCAGGATTCTATACTGCCCTTGTCTCATCTCTACCCTCAATAAAAATGTAATGATACAAACTTCTTGAAGTTTGAAGAATACTCTGCATGGGGACATCTGCTTGGGTAAAGAATACAGACCATAGGGCCAGGGATTTAGCTCAGTGTTTCTGCCGCCTGCCTCACAAACACAACGTCCTGAGTTTGATCCTGGTACCAAACAAACAAACAAAAAGACGAATATAGACCACAAAAGAGGGGCTGCTTTTTGAATGAAGAGAGAGCAAAAGAAGATGGTCAAGAGGTCATTTAACAATGAAGAAGGATTTCTGATTCTTGGGAGAGGATTGACTTTTATTGGTCTTTGGTAAAAATCCTGAACATTCCTGGGGTGGGTGGGTGTTTTAGCAATCTTCCTTCTTGGCTAGAATATTACCATGGATACTGATACAACGCAGATCCTTCTTTATGTCAACCTATTTTATGCACCACAGAGGAAACCCCATTCACTCCTCAGGGGAAAGAGTAGAGGAGGGTTTCATGAGTCGACAATGGGTCAACACGCCACAACCAAGATATTCATGAGGAGATATCAGTGAAGAGAATGAAGCGGACCCCTCACTGGAAAATGCCAGGGAATCATCTCTAAACTAGCACTTTTGCTGCAAGAGGAAAGTCTTCCAGAAATGAAATTAGACTCCAAAGTCCACGAGTTAGGAAGAGAACACAAGATAATCAATGGACTCTCCATTGAAAACTATATAAAATATAGACAAGAAAGGCAGAGAGAATTACTGGTAGCTACTTCCAATGACTTAGGCTAAGGAGATGCATTCTGACAATGAAGCAAAAAAGGCCTGACAGACACACCTGGAAACTTCTATGGATTTAGAACTGTGCCATAAGCAAAGATGTCTTTATGGGATCTGGGCAAAATACAATTAAAAACAACAGCATTCCTATGCATCAGTTGATTTCCTTCTATTGTGATTGAAATAAAGGCAGAGCACATGTAAATCAGTTTCTTTGAAATTTTCTTTGTGCTGCAGTAAGAACATTGCCTCTCATTATAGTCCAGTTGATTTTTAAAAGAGTCTATGTTGTTCATAACTATATTTGTTTTTAGCAACAATATCTGATTACTTTTGCAGGCTAAAGCCTACATGCCTGCATATAGATGCCTACAAAAATCAAGCAAGTAAGATGAAGAAAAAAAAAAGGTGGGTGATGAATCTCTTTCAACAACAGGATATCTTCTAGTGTATTAAGAGAACCCACAGATTTCACTTTTTATCATATCTGGGCATAATTTGAATCGGAATCTTCCTAATTCTTAGGAATCTTCTCCCTCTGTCGATCTTTCTTATCTAGTAAACAGCATCTAGAATAAGTTTCAAAAATTTATTTTCTAAAACTTTTCATGCTAAATTTATTGATATTTGCAAGAGACCTTCTATAGTATTTTGTAATCAGCTGTTAGTTATATTTATCCTTACTCATTTAGAGCAAGATGTTTATAGTGTATATAAATAATCATTATTTGATTATCATGATGCTTATATTTTCATTGAAAATAGTATATATTATGTAAAATTTTATTAACATTTGAAAACTATTGGAAAATAGAAGAAAACTACCACCTATGTATCCTCAACTAAATAAGGCATTGTCATTGTATTGGAGAACAGGTTTGCAAGTCAATCTTCTTTAAATATAATTTTAATTTTACTTTAAACTTGAAGTCTTATTATGTTATTACTAGTAATATTACCGTTTGATCCCTATGTCCAGAAGCCAATTATGAATATAAAAGTTGGGTGATGTATAAAATTTCTCATCATTTGAGAATTAGGATATATTTTACTTTTAATTACTTAGGTTCAAATTCTGCCAGTGCCAAAGTTGATAATCATTTTGTAGATAATAACTATAATTGTTGAAAAAATTAAATTAAACAACCATGGAAATTACTAGAAAACCTAAAAAATAGCTAGAAAATATGAAAATTTGAGGTTGAATAAGAAATGGAATTGGACGAGATCTAAGATTATGTGACTTTTCCCTCTCAAGGTACTTTAAGGGTGACCAGGCATTCTCTATTTTCCTCGAATTTTCTTGAGTTGAGCATGAAAAGCCCCACTTCCCAGGAATCTCCTTAATGCTAAAAGTACAGGATGTCTAGAAGCAGGAGAAGGCAGTGACCTTTGTGGTATGGGGTTTCAGATGAATACTGGGGCTACTAAAACAGCCCAAAATGAGGAAGAAATCTCAAACAAAATAACAGCAGAAAGGGAAGACTCCACATCTGAATATAAACTTCTCTTAAATATTTGTTTTTGTATGATGTGAGAAGGAGGAACAAATATCAAGAGCCTGAAAGAATGGAAAAATAGAAAGTTGGACTGAAAAAACTAAGCCAATATTTCAGCTGCCACTCATTTTGGAGGCTGAATCCCTCCAAGGTTAGCATTTGAATCTCACCAAGTTCCAGGATCTTCCTAACAACCTGTTCAAAGTTATGGATAGATCAAAGCCTTTCTCTGTTCTCAGACTAATGACTCGCTCCAAGTGTAAGGACAAAACTGCAACCAAGCAACCTGAAAATAGTGTGAAGCCAGTCCTCCATAGCATTAAGGTGGCTCCTATGACAGCAAAAATCATCTTCGGAAGAGCATAACAAATCTGAATTTTATCAATATAAAATGTCTGATGCATGATAAAAATCAGAAGATATATAAAGTATAAAAAAGATACATATTAGAAAACAATTCCAGTCAAAAGAAACACATAACGCTTAAAATGACCCATATTGCAATTAACAGATAAGAACATTCAATTAACCATTACAAATAGATCAAGAACTTAGAAAAATTACACTTATAATGTTTGTACGGTCAAATGAATGAACAGTATAGAATCTGCGTTTGGAAATGGAAACTTTTTAAAGAAAGGAAAATAGAAATTTTTCAACTGAAATGTATAATGCCTTAAAAAATACATTGTCTTGGCTTTAATAGCAGATAGACAATTGCAGAATAGCAGAAAGAATGATCAGTAAGGTTGAAGACAGATCTATGAAATTATCCAGTATAAAAAGCACTGGGAAAAAAGTACCAAAAACCAATAATATCTCAGCAGTGAAATAATATCAAACATACTAATAAATTGTATATAGAGAGAATAATTAAGCTGGAACATAGTAAAATATGGAACACGGTAAAATAATAATGGCCCAAATTTCCCAAAATTGATGGAAAATATTAACATGTAGATCCAAGAAGCTCATTTCATGCCAAGCAAGACAAACAATGAAAAGTACACTTTAAAATTTAAAAGTCACATGTCTAGAAACTAAATTTTGAAAATATCCAGAAAACAAGTGAAGCATTGCAATCACTAGAGATCAATAATACATAGTAGTTGACCTACCAAAATATTGTGGCCAGCATATAAGGAGTGACAATATCTTCAAAGTGCTAAAACCAACTGTATGCAAAGGATTCTATATTTAGCAAATAAGTGCATGGACATGAAAGCAAAATAAAGACATTTTCAGATAAGTAAAAAGGCTGAGAGAATTTGTCACCAGTAAAGTTGAACTAAAAATAATACTAAAGACTTCATACTGAAAGTAATACCAGATGGAGACAGATCTATAAGAGTTGGGACACTGAAGATGGTTAATATGTGAGAATAAGTAAAACAGCATGTATTTATCTTTGTTTCTTTTAAAGACATCTACTTGTTTTTCACTTTTCACTTTTAATTGTTATTGCTTTCATTTTATTTTGACACCTGAGTCTGCAATGTAAAATACAAGAACAGTGCATTTTGTAGATACATTTTACATATATATATATATATATATATTTGTAGGTATAGATATACATTGAAAATAACATAAAGTATACTACAGTTAAAGCTAAATAAAATTGTATTCTTGAACGTTTCCTGAATATCTTATGAAGTGGTGGCATTTTAACTTTACATAGACTTTGATATGTTAAAGATGAAAATATTACTCTTTAAAGAACCGATAAAAAGATACAGTACTAAAAAGAAGTTGCTAAACATTTCTAAATTAAAATCTAATATTATAAACAATTTAATAAATGCAAAGCAAACAAAATAAAGAATGTGGGGATAATGGAACAAACAGATGGCAAATAGCAAAATAGTTGCTGAAAGTAGATGTGAATATCAGAACTTTATGGGAGATAAAGAACTTTTACTTTTATAATGAAAAATCAATTCACCAAGAATACATAGGAGTAATAAGTTTATGTAACTGATAACAAAGCTTCAAAATAGATGAAGCAAAAGTTCACAGGAGACAGGCAAACCCCCACCTTCACACTTGGAAATATTAAAATGAATCATTTGATTTGATATTTATAGGACACCATATTCAGTAATTACAAAATAATTTGCAAAATATACATTCCTTTAAATTTGTCATAAAAGAAGCATCAGTAAGTTTTAAACTTCTGAAAACTTAGAATTCACTCAGAGATCATAACATAAAATAGAAACTCTCCCAAATTTTAAAAATTAAACAACATACTTCTGAATAATACACAGCAAAGCACTGGAAGTGTTGAAGGT